AAAATGGATTCGACCTTGGAAAAATGCCCGGTGAAAGAAGAGGAGCCAGTCAAACAACCAAGTAAGTTTGTTATTTATTTATTAGTTCATTAGTTTATTTTAAAATATTATGTGTAGGAATATAAATCTCAGTTTGACCATGGGTCGCACGTGCTCTATACTACAAATCTACTATAGCAAAATATTTGCAAAAATGTTAAGGTAAAAGTAATGTATAAACGCCTCAACGTTTATCATTCTTTGACATCAAGGCAATTCGTTCTCTTGCAGGATCCAAAAAACGAAAATTTAAATAAACCACATGTATCTGAAAATAACCGTATTGACCAATTTAAATGTATCTGATTTTCTAAAACTAAAACTGTGACATTTTGTTATAATTTAACCCTTGTGTCTATGGACGCAAAATATATAAATATAAACACTGATTTGTGGGTATAATTTATCTATTTATTGCAAGTTCTTATTACACCAATGATTTGTCACTACCAAAAGTTCTAATTGAAGAAGATATATTTACCGATTTTTCATTGCATATATTGTTACGCGGACTTTAGTTTTAGAGGTGAAAAAAATAAGTGTAAAAGCTCAATGCCATGAAGGTTGCCGCTTTCATGGTCAATTTAATAAAATGAAAATACTTCCGAGCATTACTAGTTGGTGAGATTTAAAATTTTACTAAAAATCTACTGTAGAACAGTAGTCGAACAAATATTTATTTTTCATTTTAATTTGCAATTTGAGTTCTATTGTATTTACTAGGGCAGTCGAATTTTATCTCACGTTTCAAATAAACGAAAATATAAGGAAATTGATTACTTACAGATTATATACAAAAATTTATCATATATTACTACAATGCGTGCTTTTTCTTAAAGTATGTCCATTAAATTCATCCATTGGTTTTCCTTGGCAACATACATGCATTATTTTATCGAACATTTGCAATGTTTAAAAGAGAAATTTTGCATACATAAATTACCTACTGCAAATAGTACATCACATTGCATTTCTTTATAATAGGATATAAAATAAAAATAATGTATATCCTGAAATGTTAAAGAATAATAAATTTGTTACATTATTTGTTATCAACTTAAATCAATCTTTTAGTTTATATTGTGAGATATTTACAGTTAGCAGTCTCTGATTTAAGAATAAAAACAAAAAAATAAATGATTGCAGAATAAAAACAAATTAAATCGATTGCAAATTTTTATGGGCATTCAAATTTCTTAAATTTTCATGTATAAATGATATATATTTTTGAAATGACTTCAAAATAAAAATTAAGAAAAAAATAAGAAATTTAAATCTGTAAACTAAAATAAAAAAAATTAACTCTATGTTTTCATTTTATCACTTTTAACTAAGATTCTCATTAGATTTCTGATTTTTTTTGCGTTAAAATTAAGTTTTGAGTAATTAAGTAGTAAATTTATTTAATTTTCAATGCGTTTTATTCGTATAATGAAATGTTATTGCATTTCACTCTGTAAACTATAAATTAAAATAAAATAAACTCTATATTATCATTTTATCACTTTCATTTATGATACTTTTGCGTTAAAATTAGGTTTTGAATAATTTAGTAATAAATTCATTAAATTTTTACGTTTTTTAATACGTTTTTTCCGTCTAATAAATTTTTATTGGATTTAAATCTGTAAACTATCAATTAAAAAAAATAAACTCTATATTTGTATTCTCTCACTTTTATCTAAGATTCTAATTAGATTCCTGATACTTTTGACTTAAAATTAAATTTTGAATAATTAAGTAGTAAATTTATTAAATTTTTAAACTTTTAATACATTTTGTTTTTGCATAATAAAATGTCTTTGGATTTAACTCTGTAAACAATAAATTAAAATAAAAAGATTAACTCTATATTTTTGTTTCATCACTTTCAACTAAGATTCTCATTAGACTTCTGATACATTTGCGTTAAAATTAAGTTTTGAATAATCAAGTAGCAAATTTATTATTTTTTAATTTTTTAATACGTTTTTTTCGTATAATAAAATGTTATTGGGTTTCATTCTTTAAACTATAAATTAAAATAAAAAAACTCTAAATTTTCCTTCATCACTTTTAACTAAGATTCTTATCAGATTTCTGATACTTTTGCGTTAAAAACATGTAAATAATTTAGAAGCAAATTCATTATTTTTTCAAATTTTTTAGTATGTTTTGTTCTCGTTTAATACAATATTGGGTTATCAAAATTTCTAAAAAAAACATTTCATTTTTATTTTATCTAGAAAATTTTCATATATAAAGCTAATTTTTTTAGATTTGTAATAATTTTTAATGGCTTTTATCCGAACAATGGAATTTTGGTAAATATTTTAAAAATGATATAAATAAAAAAATTAAAAAGTTCAAAGATGCAATAAATGCATACACTATCAATTTATAAAGAAAACTTAATAAATTTTTTATGTTTTGCTGAATTTTGTAATTTAAGCTTTCGTTTCGGAACTAAATACTTTCCATCATTAGACATTGTGTAAATTAACATCATTTTTTATAATACAGATTATTTTGGTGAAAGTGGTTTATTAAAGAACTTCTAAAGGAATGAAACCATATCCACAAAAACTTATTGTTTTTTATTTTCATTAAATAATGCATTCCTTTAAAAGACTTAAAATACTGTTCTCACCAAATAGTTATAAAAAAAATTGTTCTTGGCAGAAAAAAACAAATGCGACATGCGTAAGATTAAAAAAAATTTAGTATATGCAATTTTGCACTTATTGCGTTATTTATTAAACTGAATTATATAATTTCATCTGCCAAACATATACTGTTGACTGTATCTTATATTTTTTAATTTCTGGCACACCTCAGCTGCTTTTCGGCAATAATAATGTAGACATTACATTTTTCTTGTACATTATATTCTAATATTATCTAGGCTCATAAGTTCAGCTAAATTCAAATTTCAAGTGAATTGACATTTCTAGCAAATGTGTTCAATGTCAAACAATGATATTGATAAGTGTTTTTTTGTAATAGTTGCCATTTATTTTTACAATATTACTATAATATCATCGTTCATTAAATCTTAAAAATTTTCTTTGACAAACTCTAAAAAGAATTATCAAAATCCGAATAACCGGGAAGGATAGGAGAAGTATCAAATCATACTCCCGTATAGAAGAATTTTATATATATATATATATATATATATACAAGTGTGTATATATGTGTATTTATAACTAACGATAATATGTTATAATTTGAAAAACAAATTTCCCGACTTCTGTGTTTTATCAAGACAAATTATTAAATAACAAAATTGTAATCTTGTTAGCTCTCGAAGATGATGTATACACAAGAAATATTGTTTACTCTAAAAATACTTTTCTGTTTACATGCAGAATGTAAACTCGAACTATCGAATTTAAATCGGATTTTTGAACCTATTCAACAGGTTGAGTGCCACGTACAATCATAATAATAATGATAAATCATGGCTGGTTCAGGGTTATTTTTTTTAAAAAAAAAACGTGGGGACAAATGTTGCATTTTTTGCTAAGGAGGCGTTCATTAATCAGGTGAGATTTTTAGGGAAAAGATTTTTTGGCAAAAAATCACAAAATATGATGGGGAAGAGGGAGGGGTATAGTAAGATATATGTGTATTAATTTTTTACCTGATTTTTTTTAAATCCAAACATTTTCAAAAAAAAATAAAAAATATATAATTTTTTATCGTAACTAAAATAAACTACAATAAAACTAACAATAAATAAAAACGTGATGTTTGGTGAGAAAAGGGGGCGATTTTGAGTATCACCACGGGGGAGAGGGGTCCAAAAATTCTTAAAAAATCAATCACGTGATTAATGGACTACCTAAACAAACTCTTCCTTATCAAAATCTTTCATTTTTAAAATCGGTTCAGTCGTTTTTGAGTAAACTTGGACGAAAAGTCAAAAATCGGTTCACATACTTTAGTATCAAATGTTCCAGAATTACTTACAGAAATTTACAGAAATTCGAATTTAGCAAGTCGGAATTTCTGGTGATAACATAAACTTCTTCTTCGGTATGTTGTGCATGGCATCGTGCCTTAAAGCAAATTAAAGAAACTTCCCGTTCCAAAAATTATTTTTTTTAAAAAAAGATTCAATTTTCTTTTAGAAGTATGATAAAAATCGATTTTTGCGATTTTTAAAATTTTTGAAAAAAATTTACCTTTTTCAAAAATTTGATTTTTTTTATATTTTAAAATATTTTGGAAATTTTGAACTTTTTTTCAAAGCAATCGCGATACGTTAGCCGCGTAGAAACGAAATATAGAAGCGCGTGGGCGCCGCAGTATAACTTATCAATACGAATCGAATGTTTTTTTGAATTATTCAAATCGGTTGATCGGTGTTCACGAAATCGTCGACGAAAATTTGTATCTGCACACACACACATACATCAATTTTTTCTAAAGTATGCCAAAATATTCAGAAACTTCTGAAATATAAAGATATAAAAACAATATTTTTGATTTTTTACGATTACTATAACTTACCATACGGAAAGTTAATAAAAATCTGATATTAGTACTGCTTGATATCAAGCTGATCAAGGTGTATATCGAATCCGGAACCAGTAATTGCTTATCTACGTTATTAATACTTAATTTAATAAAATAGAATACTTTTATTATTTTATTTTCAATAGCAATCAGAGTAAACATCATTCTAACATTTATTCATTAATTCATATATTAAGTCAATAGTTGTGACTCACCAATTCAGCTCAGTTGTTCAAAGATATTAAATAATGCCTTTCATGGTTATTTTTTCAACATTCTAGAAACTGATGTCTCGAGAATTTGAGCAAAATACAAAAAATGATATAATATGTAGCAATTGCCTTGATTATCAATAAATGCAAATTATGTTGGGTTTACTGTATATTTCATATTATTTATACATCCTATTACATACAAAAGTAATTAATAACATGTTTCCAAATATCTAAGATTATATTTCATTGATTTTCATCACCCTGCCGACAATGAAGTTCCATGTGCCTCTTCAAATCGGATGATTGAATAAATTTCTTATTGCATATACTGCATTCATAGGGGTGTTCCTTACTGTGACGTGCTAGATTACTTGAGAATGCGAATGTCTTATTGCATATACTGCATTCATAGGGGCGCTCCTTACTGTGAATGACCATATGACGTGTCAGGTTACTTAAATGCGTGAATGTCTTATTGCATATGTTGCATTCGTGGGGCCGATCACCAATATGAATGAGCATATGGCTCTTGAGATGTTCTAATCGTCCATATTTCTTATTGCATATCTTGCATTCATGGGAGCGCACTCCACTGTGCACCAGCATGTGATTTTTCAGATGATTTAATTGTGTGAATGCTTTATTGCATATGTTGCATTGATGGGGGCGCAAACCGCTGTGAATGAGCATATGACTTTTCAGATTACTTAGATCGGAGAATGTCTTTTTGCATGTACTGCATTCATGAGGGCGTTCTCCTATGTGAATCAACATGTGACGTTTTAAACTACTTGATTCTGTGAAAGTCCTATGGCATATACTGCATTTATGGGGGCTCTCACCACTATGAACGTGCATGTGCCTTTTTAGAGTACCTAATACTTTGAATGTCTTATTGCATATATTGCATTCATGGGGCTTAGCGCTGTGAATGCGAATGTGTCTTTTTAGATGGCATAATCGTTCGTAAGTCTTATGACAGATTTCACACTCGAAAGGGCTTACTTTGCTTTGGCTAGGCTTGTGATCAACCAAGTGCTCTTTTAACTGATGTGATTCTGCAAATGATTGATTGCAAATGTCACATTCATACATTGTCTCCTCTTTTACTTCTTCTATAGTTACTTCTGAATTCATGAATCTTTCTAAACTCGTTTCATCATCCTCAGAACATGATTCAGATTTAACAATAACATTAGTATCATCAAATTCATTATTAATATCGCGTTTAATGTCTTCTTCTAAACATTCAGGTGGCTCAGTTTTAACTTGACCATTTACAGACATAATTGTTTCTTCTGACATTTTTAAATATATTCGCGGCTTATACTCACTAAATATTTACAAAAATATTCATGTGCTAAATAATAATTTAGTTTAATCAACAATCTTTTTAATATGATAAAGATTTCAGAGATTTACACTTCACGTGCATTTATTATTTGACTTGAAGCATAGAGTATATTTTCAGAAAGATGAGACATTTATTCAAACGCTTTGATGTTCAACAATGGCGCGATTTTTCAAATTCATCATGGTTCTCCATAATTCAACTGGCAACAAATATTTTTATAATTAATACTGGATTGATTATTACGCAAACAATAAAATAATCAACGATTACTTCATAGATAGTACACCAAGCACATGGTAAAAATTTATTAATTTCATTTCCTACATAAGATTTTAGCTTTCTTTGCATTTTCTAATCAAGATCCACGTTCTTGTCAAATTTTTAACCGAGTTTATTATCCACTATCAAACATACAAACTCTCGTTCTGGCAAACTGGTATCGTGCAGCAGCGATGCCAAAGTGATACTTAAATACAACATGATCGGTTGTTGTTGCAATTAGCATTTAGAAATGAACCTTCATTAGAGAAATGAAGCAATGTTAATTAATAACTTCTATAATATTGTTCACACAGTGGGACAGCTGTAATATAACAATCTTAAGTATTTTCATAAACACTGGCAATAAATAAATTGCATCGATATCTATTATAAAGTATATCTGTATATAAATGATACACAGCTACACAAACTATTATTGTGCTTGATTTCTTGTTTAGAGTTATAAATCTGAATATCAATTCATTCTTCATTATTTATAAAAATATGCAACTGTGTAATACTTTACGTTCAGGATCAGCAAAATGAAATTGTAACAGAAGTTGTTTCACTTGTCATGTAATTAAAAATTAACATACATTTATTGACTGTTTGTTTTTTTCTCTATTTCGCTAGCGATACAGTCTCATTCTTTGAGCAGCTGTAGTATGTGTTTTTGTCTATAAGAATAATTTCTAAAAATATATAGTAACCACGAATAATACAAATAATTTCAATAAACTAACGTTTCTTACACGGCACAGATTTTTCATTTGTTTCATTATTTTTAATATATGCGGGGACATATTACGTGTAGGCATACAAACAAAGCAATAATACTTACGCGACACGACCACCAATCACGATCGACCCGTATAGAAATGATCTCATCGAGAGCGAATGACGAATCATTGGTACTCGACTCGTGCGTAACGGTCTTCCGTTGCATTTTCACAGATTTGCACCCTAGTTTACTTCAAAATTGGCTTTTTATTACTTATTTATCGGCTATTATTATTTATCAGTTTAGGTCATAGGGAAGTTAAAATAATAATCAAACAAAACTGATAGCAAAAATGATATTCATCAAATGTGTATGCAAATATGTCAGCATTTTTGTAATATTTATTTCACACTACTGTTGGCAGATGTAAGAACATATGGAGCTCTGTATAATTTTATTAAATCTCGTAACATAAAATTATAAATATTGCATATTAATTGTACAGAATAATGATTTAATTGAAAATAGCTAATGTACTTGTCTACAAAGTCAATAGTAATAAAAAAATAGCAAAAATAATATTTAATCATCAATTTAATATATGCAAATAAAATTAAAGCATTCAAGTTGTGTCTATAATTTTTGGCGACTATTTTCGTCCAGCGCGTGGCGGTCAACCTGTTGAATAAGGCGGCAGACGCCTAATAATAATGATTATTTGAGCGTTAAAGAATTAAAGAATTTATTGTCGAATATGTGTCGATGGTGCCAGTGACCTATTTAAAAATCTAAATCTAAATGTGTGAATCATCGACATTAGACAGAAAAAATTTGCGAATTCTGCGAGAGGAAAGAGAAAATGTTTGCGAATGTTTTTGTCTAGATGCGACTCTATTTCCGAAGTGGGATTTGTAAATAAAGCTCTGTTCAGATTGTGGGCTTAATTTGTAAAACTACATTTTAGTACATTTATTTTTTATTTTTCAAAAACATGATAATTTAAAATTGATTCTCTCTAAAACTTTTCTTCAATACCTCATTACAGATTTATTTGAAAGATAAAATGACAACTTAAAATGAAAGACAATAAATTTAGTATAAAATGAAACGCTTTCATATATTAATTAATCTTTACAAAATGTGGAAATTTTGGGTACTTTACTCATTACATTGCGCACGTGCCATATTCATCATAATCATCATAAAAAGTGATTGATCATGTAATAAACAAACAAATTTGATAAAATTATAAATATCTTCTAATCGAATATCGATTTGGGTAATTTTCACATTGCGAAATTTTGGTAACAGAAAAATATTTCTGTTTTGGTATGATTGTAATGTTCTTGAATAAATTTTGAATATAATTTTGAGAATAATTTAGTTGAAAAGTTAATAAAATTTTTATTTATATTGCAATTTTTAACAATATTATGGTAAAGACACTTTGAACTAGTTGGTATTGGTATTTGCCTTGAGGCAAGTTACATGAACTTCCCGATATGTCTAAATAATCGAGTTAATCATTAAAAAAAAAATTAATTTAAGAGCGATTAAAAGTATTCCGAGTGAATTTATTACACATGATTGAAAACGAACGAACACGTTAACTGAGTATTTTCTAAAAGCAAATTTTCACAAATCAATAATTTTACAATTGAACTAGTTTCGGTAGGACTTTAATGGTTTTTAGTATGTTTATTAAGAAGTAAATCTTAATAAACATCAAACTTTGATGAATTTTAAAATTAACTACTTGTCGTAAGGCCGTAATATTTCAGTAAGATCTATAAGACCATGATATATATCGCCAAATAAAGTTCCATAAAAAATTGGCTTAATTTTTTTTTAACAGTTTATTACCAGAAACGGTTCGGTGGATTTTCACTTTAAACTAATCAGCATCATTCCCAACTAATATCTTTCGAACAGTTTTTGATTTTTTAAAATCGATTTGGTAGTATGAGCTTAAATGTGGACGAAAAGTTTAACACTTTTTTTTAATTACAAAGAAACGGCTGGACATATCGTGCACAAAATTGACAAACGATAGTTCTCTTGAGATACATCGAAAGGCTTTTAAATTTTAAAATCGGTTCAGGCGTTTTTGAGCAATAGTCGATGAAAGGTCTAATTTTGACAAATGCCAAAAACGATACTAATTTTTGCAAACTTTGAAGAATTTTTAAATTAAACTACTTGTCGTAGGGCCGTAATATTTTAGTACGATCTAAAAGACTATTGTATCTATCGTCAAAAAAAAATCACAAAACCAATGGGTTACCTCCTAATAATTAGTCTAGCTTACAAAAGAATCACATCACAACAGCTCACAGAATAATAAGAATATTATAAATCGCAGTAAAAAATAAAAACAATTATTTATATAAAATTTAATAAAATTTTATCCGAGTCACGTTTAAGTTTACCCTTGCAACCAGGTCATTGTCTCTGTCCATAATATGTTCTTATCACTGTTTATTTAAATGAAAATCAAATACATATTTTATTTCATTTTCTCTCAAGTGTTTACCTATTCCATAAAATTAAAGAAATGTGTCATTGCATTAATTGCAATAAATAAATAAAAAAGTTTGAGCAAGATCTCATTACGAGAGCGATCTCATCAACTTTATCAGGACCTTGTAACAGATTCGATCAAGCGAGATAACAATTATAAAATCATTTGTTATCAATAATTATTGCATTTTGCGGTATTTCAAAAGCAAATATATAGATTGTATTGAATAGTTCTGATTTTTCGAAAAGATTTGGTTTTGATATGAAATCAGGAAAAAATGTAATGAGACTTTTAAATTGCTAGACATAACCTTAAAATCGCACGTGTTGATTTCATATCGCTTGAGATAGGATGAACATTTGGGTAGCCCACTATAGGTAAACCTGCCAGCCTGATATCAAGCAGCATTATGTTTCCCTAAAACTGCATTGATAAAAAAAAGTATTATTGCAATTGAAATAAATTCAACACATACATATAGGAAAACCATTTGGGTTGTCTCTAATAGTAAAACCTCGTAGTTCAAGAAGTCAACTCAACACCTCATAGAACTCCTTAAGTTCTGATTACTGTTGTAGCAAAAAAAATGAAAAAAAGAATTTTGCGATTATTTAATTTAAAACTGCATTATATAACACAGTTATTGTTATAACTTGTTCTGTCTCTATTGTAAAACGCAAATTGAAATGTTTTTTTTTTTATGGCAATTTTATGGCATGTTTGCGTCTGTTGTGGTATCAATCAGTTTTTTGTACGAGCAGAGAAAAATGTGTATTGTTAACAAATTTCACGGTCGCAAACAACAATGTAATTATTTAAAATGTAATTGCACTCGCATTACTCTATTAACTAGGAAAAAATACTGCTATAGATTTATATTTGTGTAATTTTATATAAGTTTTAAATTTTCAATACAATTTTTAAATCTAGATATGTTTGCTAACGATCCATTCCCTGACTTTAAAACAATGTACTGTTTATTAAATTATTATAGTTTTTATATTAATTCATTAACATTCTAATTTTATTTATAGGCATTCTCTTAACATTTTCAGACAGGTTGCAACATTTTCGGACAATTTACAACATTTTCGGACTACTTACAATATTTTCAAACAATCTACAACGTTTTCAGACAATTAACAACATTTTCGGACTACTTACAACATTTTTGGACTATTGACAATAACAGAAAATTTACATTTTCAGACAGGTTACATTTTCAGACATTTCAAAATATTTTCAGACATTTCACAATATTTTCAGACAATTTCCTACAT